AAAATAAAGAATTGACATATATAAAATTTCATTTACAAATTTTCAATGAAACAAAAGCCAAGAAAATCAGGTCTATAAAATGTGTTCATAGAGGAATGTAGCTATGAAAATGGTGAAATTTGCACCTCAAATCACAGAGTTCAGCGTTGATGGCGTAACGATGGAGGTGATGACGAGCAGCAGCAGGAACGACGACTTCAAGCGGGGACGAGCAGTAGCAGTTGAGTACCGGGCAGCGACGGTGTAGGTGATGACGAGCAGCAGTATGAACGATGGCTTCAAGCGGCGAAAAGCAGCAGTAGTTGAGTACCAGGCAACAACGGTGTAGGTGATGACGGCTTCGAATGGCAACGGGGAGCAGTTGTTTTCGATCGTAAATCTCTGGGATGATTAAAATTAGGTTTAGAATTAGATGGAAGGGGGGAAATGGTCTCGCAGAATTTAAGAAATCACTAATACGGCGTTTTTTTAAAAAACGCCGCAAATTATGTACCTATTGTTGCGTTTGTAAATACAAACACCACTAAAGGGTATGGGACGACAATAATTGCGACGTTTGTAATCCAAACACAGCTATAGTTATACTCTATTACGGAATTTTTTAATAAACGCAACTAATGTCCATATATATTGCGGCGTTTGTGTCTAGAAACACCGAAACAATTCAAATATATTACGGAGTTTGGTGAAAACCACCACTATATAGTACACCTACTGCGGCGTTTGTTATAAACGCCACTAATATCTAAATTTCTTACAGCGTTTGCGTTTAAAAACGCCACTAAAGTACAAATATGTTGCGACGTTTGTTAAAAAAATACCACTATATATTACACCTTTTGCGACATTTGTATAAAAACACCGCTAATGTACTATTCATTAGCGGCATTTTTTTATATAAACGTCGTAAAAGGTTAGATATATAGCGGCACTTTTGGATACAAACACCATTAAATACCTTTATTTATATAAGATTAACATATTTTAAATATTTCATTTCTTCTATACATAAACTAAATTTACAACCATACATTTTAATTAAGAAAGAAGTTATGTATAAAACTACATAACAACAAAATACATTATAATTTAGAAACATTAAAGTTATGCATAAACAGTCTTCACCATATTGTTCACTACAATTTAGTCTTCATTGCTCCTTCGTGGGGAAAGGATGTAGGAAAGCTGTTTTCCTTGTTTGATGACGAATCGTTAAGTTTTTCCTCCGTGTAAACTCTATATGGAGAAACTCTTCATCCATTTCACCAAATAAATATCCTACCTCCGGTTCACCAAGAAGACTCCTTGCGCGCTTCAGTGCTTCACTTGAAACAGATAACGACCCTCCACCTACAGTATGAAACTTGATTGGAGGTGGCTTGGGAATTGAATCAAACATTAAAATAAATTAAAATAGATGATATAAACGTTTACTTGGAGTAACAGTAGAGGTAACATCGTCTTCATTAAGGATCGATACTATTTTTTTAATTGAAGATTCTTTCAACGCCACATAGTTACCAAATTCGGTTCTAAACATAGGGTATTTATCCATTCCTCTATCATCGTTCTCAATAAGTTTTGAAGATCCTACATGCGTACGATCTATAAAATTTGAGTGAGCGTACAAAAAGGGAAATATAGCGGCATAAAGATTCATAGATTATTACCTTCAAGTAGGAGATCGATCATGAAATAGTATGGAGCAATATGAGTTCCTTTCGAGTCATCATCGAGTTTCGACGGCGAGACCGGACCGATAGCCTCCCAACGATAATTTGATATATCGTCAGAGCAAATATGCCATGTAGACATTCCGACGATAATTTCTCTTACTCAAGGCAACACCTGCTCTTTTCCCCCCCTAAAATAGGTTAGCTTTCTGGGTTTTCCTCATTTTCAAAATATATACCAACCAAAAAAAAATGAAAAAGATCATTAGTGATAAGAGGGATCAAACCGTGGAATTGTGTTATAGTTTGTCGGTGAGAGGGCCGATTTGGTTCCTGGGATAGACAAAAGAAGACGTCATTTGGAATCGTGTGAGGGTCGTTGTTGTACCAGAGAAGAAACTGCGAGGGAAGAAGAGTTGAAATGATTTTAAGGTTCGGGTGAGAGAAAAGAGAGGACAATATATTTAACATTTTACGGCGTTTTTAAAAAATGCCACTATATCACATTTTTTTGCGGCGTTTATACAAAAAATGCCACTTAAACAATCATATTGATGCGTTTTAGATATAAACGCCGCTAATTTACCACTCTATTATGACGTTTGTGGTATAAACGCCGCTACATTAACACTCTATTACAGCGTTTGGGCTAAAATGCCGCTAAATGTATACTCTATTCAACGTTTTTACTATAAATGCCACAATTGATTAACCCTTCTGTGGCGTTTGTCTAAAAACGACGCAAAACTATTCTTAATTGCGGCGTTTGTTGGAAAAACGCCACTATATACCACCCTATGACGGCGTTTTTGGTAAAAACACCGCTATATTTCTACTCTATTACGGCGTTTGCACAAAAAACGCCGCTAAAGTCTCAATTTATGGCGTTTGGATTGCAAACGCTGCTATATGTTTAACTTTTGTGGTGTTTTCTCTCCAAACGTCGCTGCATAACAGTTTTTCTGTAGTGGTAGAACGTGTCACCACCATTGGATAACTTACCAGGATTCAGACATGGGTTGGAGGAAAGGGGATGTGAATTTCCCTTGGAACCCAATGAAATGAGAGTTCCTAATCAAATGAGAGCAGCCGATGGATGTCCCGGACAAGCGAAAGAGGATGTGAAGATGCATTTGTGCTTGTGATGAGTTTGATAACATGGGAGGATTCAGGAGGATTCAGAATGAACAACCAGTTTACGGATGCAACGAGCCCATGCCAGCCGAAGGCCGAGAAAAAAAGCTCCAAAGCTCAGCTTGGAGAATATAATACATATAATTATTAAACTACTTATGATATAATACATATAATTTTTAAATAAACTAATATTGATTTTATAAAATATATAAATAATTATTTGATTATTTTTTATTTTAAATTAAAATGAAAAATTCTTTAATTTTAATCTAAAACTTTTACAAGTTAAATAACAATTTTGGCATGTATTAAATCAATTTTTTATTTGATTTAGTGATTAAATGATTGAATATTTTGTAAGATGTCCTAAGTTTGAATCATAGATCTAACAATTTTCTTTCATTTCCTAGTGATAGTTTGGTATAAATTAAATATATACTTTGGTATTTAAAATCAAAGGTTTGCTTAGCTCCGATGGTTGAATGTCTCTCCACTCCCAAAATGACTCAGATTCAAATCTTGGCAAGTTTTATCATTTTATCTTTAATTTTGTTTTTAATAAGGTGGTGACTAAATGTATAGCTCAGTTGAAAAGAGAATGTATCAAAAGAAAAATGCACTCTTTCTAGATTATATTCAAGATCTTATGTGATCTGATGGGAGTAAATACGCATTTTTATGCATATTAAAGATATATATACTCTTTTTTCTGGTAAGACTTTTAATGAGACTATATGTTATTTGTATTCTTTTTCCTTCATTAAGATTTTTTTCCCACATGATTTTTATTTTAGTAAGGTTTTAACGAGACACATTATCTACATAGACATCCAAGGGAGAATATTATGAATATTTATTTATGTGAATGTCTATCTTTATTTATAAGAAAGAATTTTGATATACATTATTATTATATTTATAATATTCATTAGTATTAAAGTTGTATATTACATCTACTACTTATAGCTATAAATATAAATGTTAGAAAAATTATCGTATATATCTCATATTAAAATAATAATACAGTTCTCTCTTTTTGTTCTTATATCTCTTCTTCTTGTTCTTCTAATTGTTTTGTTCTTTCTTATTTAATAATAATTAATATATCATATCGTGGCCTCGTGGGATGAGGTGTAATTTACTCTTATATCCTATTTTAACCCTGCCGGCTGCCATGATTTTGATAACCCAAATTCAGATTGGGATAGAGAGAGTATCCAATTGGAAGATTTGTGGCCATCACTAGGCTATGGGTCAATGGCCATTCTATAAGGAGACAATCCAGGGTCAAATGACCTTTCACTGTCTTCCATAAAAGACACCATATCTGTTTCCCGTGGGGTCTTTTCTTGGACCTTTGCTCCCTGAATTAGCACCTTCGATGGGCTGTAAAGATGGCTCAAACACTGTTGGATTAGAGTTCTTTTTCTTTACAACATTATTAACTTAAAAAAGGAAATCCCTTTGTTTAGTCTACACCATACAAGATGAGACGGGACTCACTGAAGAACCACGGCCAGGCAACTTAACTTTAGGAATACATGGTGCATAACTAAAGAAAGCTATCCGACATCAAACATGAATCCATCTAATCTATAATATCAAGTTCTGGCTTGAGGGGATGAAGACATTGGCTCATGAAAACATGGTTCCATCGCTATTTTCCTTCACAAGTTCCCAATCAAAGATCATGAAATAGATTTGCTCAAGACAAAGACAGTGAAGATTCTCCTTTAAGTATCAGTCCCCAAAGGTTGGTTTTGCTGCATTCTTGTTATACTCTAGGAACCCAAAGAACCACTGGATGTTAAGACACCCAAGTGATCAGAATGCAACTGTCATGCTCATCAAACTCAAACACTTAGTTCTTGAAATAAAAGCTGATAATAAACAATATATAAAAAGCCACGTGTTCCATCTCGATTAGCGATGTTTTACACGTGTGTATTGGCTTTATGTATACACCCCCACACATGCAGGGTGCAACCATCGTTCCCCACACATTGAACAGTAGGCAACAGCCACTACAAAAATCCAGCTCCCACTAAAACAAGCTCAATTATATCATTAGACGGTCCAATTGATTATTGGTACAACTATATTTTAAGGCTACTCCTTCCCACTACTCTCAAATATTAACCATTTCAAGCCCTTTCCCTCTCTATCTATACAATCTTTCACCACTTCCATCCCTTTGCAATATAATTAAGCATACTATGTCTGTAACAGGAGTTTCAGACCCTGATAGAATGTTGAAGAAGTCAATCCATCTAAGGAACGACTCCGGTGAGCTCGATGTGTTTGAAGCTGCACAGTATTTCTCGGGGTACAATAACGCGGCTAGCAATAGTTATGCAACATTCTCTCAGAAGATTATGAGCAGGGTCAGCTTGGATGTGCCAATGACTATGAGGAACACTTTTCCTCAACAAGCTCATGTGGAGGAAAAGCAAATTAAGGACAAGAAATATAAGCTACCGAGCTCTCCTGGTGGGAGATTTGCTAGCTTCTTGAACTCTCTTTTCAATCAAAGAGACTCGAAGAAGAAGAAATCGAAATCGACCACACAGTCCATGACTGGTGAAGAAGAGGGCCCTGGTGGGAGAAGGAAAAGGAGGAGCAGTATTAGCCATTTTCGGAGCTCGAGTATGGCCGACACCAAGTCATTTTATTCGTCCTCAAGCTTCGGTTTCAGGACACCACCTTCCTATGCACATACTCCTACGAAGATCTACAAGGAAGTTAGAAGCTATTCGGATCATAAACACGTCTCATCTCGGTTGAGGACCAACATTGGACCAACGAAACCAACAGCTTTACAAAATGATGTCATTGATGACAGAAAGAATACAAATACAACAGACTACTCTTGGTTGGATGAGAAATTGAAGTTCAATAATGGCTACTCAGAGAAGCACAAGAATATCGGTGTTTATCATCAGGAGAAGAGTCTGAATTACAGCGATCGGTATCCATCCGACGAGAAAGAAATCAGGAAGTTCAACGAGACCGATGATGGTGCAGATAGTGATTCAAGCTCTGATCTGTTTGAGTTGAACTACGATTTAAGCATTTACTCAAGTGGTTTGCCCGTGTATGAAACTACACATATGGACACCATCAAGAGGGGTGCACCAATTTCCAATGATGCCCTATGAGATCCTGCATCTTCAACTTGTTGATGGTTTCATTTGTGTCCATTGCCATTGCACGCTTTGATTGAAACAAAGAAAAGAAAAGAAAATCGATATCTTATATTTTCCTTTCTTTTTCCTCAATGAATGCCTTTTCTTTTCTTTTCTTTTCTCTGTATGTACAGCTCGACATGTTTGCCTGTCTTTGGATTAATGCAAAAACATTAAAAGTCCCCCATTGTAATAGTTTGCTTAGATTTTGCCATGATTAGTGATTTCAACTAAATTAATGGAGAAACATCAACAAAAGTTTCTTTTGACTTCTTGGACAGGAAACAATAAATAGTTTAGTTCATTAATTAATAAATTTCCTACTTGCACGTGTGATTCATGTAACCTTTAGCTTTTCTGTACTATTTTTCATGGAAAACAAACATTTACATAAAAGAAGTTGATTAATTTTTTGCATGCTTGATGATTAAGCCACCTCATCCAAAATCATTCTGCAAATATTAAAGGCCCCCCCCCCCCCCAAGTTCTCTAGATTTGATCCGGCAGGAACAAAGTTAAGGCCCTATATCTTATCTATGAAGAACTCTGGTCTATCAAATTCAATGAACCTCCTAATTACGGGGCTGCCTAGAATTTTTCATTGTTAATGCTGTCTTATCCAAAAGCTGCAGTTTCAAACCAAACCTCAAACTGTTAAGAGTTTGATTAACGCGAGTTTCTGTCTAATCAGACAATCAAGGTAGAAAGGCAAGTGTTGCTTTGCTCATACACTCCGGTGCGGTAGCTTAATATACGGTTAAGGAAAAGACGCTACTGAAAATATTATTATTTTTTTAACATTTCCGGTAAAGCGCTATCTAAAACATTATTTGTTCAACCGAAATGTTAATATTGGGCGCTACCTAAACATTATTTTTTTCTACCGGAAATATTAATATCGGGCGCTACCTAAAACATTTCCGCTAGTGTCTTTCCTTACCTTTATATTAGACTACTGTACGACAGAACTACCCCATACATTGCTATATGTTTTCGATTGAAAGCATACAGAGAAATGTCTAAACTACACATTGTCCAATAGGGATTTGGTCATTTCCAGTTTTCCATCTTCAGACCATATGATATTGTGGTAGATTGACAGATCGAGTCATGACATATTAGCCGATCCGTCAAGCTACGAAAATATGAGATAATCTTAGAGTCTCTCTATGAGTACATGCGTATAAAGTTAAAAAAGTGGGGTATATATATATATATATATATATATATATATATATATATTTATTTGGCTCTCCCTTCTCATTGAATCAAAATAAAGCCTAAAGCTAAAATGATTATGAAACCTGTTGATAGACTTTTGAACAAATGATGTATGTAGAGCACATCAACATGCTGATATACGCTCACATCAATGATGCACGGGGCATCAAAAGGGTCCAACAGAGCACGCAGCATCCTCATGGATGGACGATGGAGCCTAGATGTGTCACACCAAAAAATAGGGCCTTAAATTCTACGATTAGATTTTTTGAGCACTAAATTGAATTTTGATTTAATTCGGGAACTTAAGTGAAATTTTAATTAATTTCGGATCCAAATTCAGAAAGTAACTAAAGGTGGAGAACCTATGACATGATTTTACCATTTTCTTTTTTAGTTTTGTATAACCCAAAATCAGGAAAAATTTCATTTCTTTTATTTACTCTCTTCAATATTTTCCTCTTTTAGAAGGAAAACTTTGATCGCCGACCGTTGCTCCATTTTTTACACCTCCCGCGCCATCGTGTTCTTTGCGTAATCCCGAGTCCACCGGTGTCCTTCTTGTCTCCGTTGTCGCCTGCGTGTGAGGGGGTGAGGAATATCAAGTTTTCGACGTTTTGAAATTGATCTCTCCGTCTTTCACCGTTGTGAACCGAGTTTGGTAAGTGTCTCAAAACCCCTTAAAACGCAATTAGAAATTTTTTTAGAATTTTTCCGACCCCCTACAGCCCTACATGCGCCCCACGCGCCGCCCCTGCGCATGGGGAAAGTCCACCGCCTAATGGATTGCTTGGATAAGGGTAGATCCGACACGACCGCTGACCACACCTGCATGCCCGACCCAACTTGACCTGATCTGAATGTTGACCGTTGACTTTGACCAAAAAGTCAAAATTTTTGAAAAGGCATATTTTATGTTTTTCGACGTCCTGAGTCTGATTCTGAAGTTCGTTTTGTCAAATTATGACCCCAAAGCCCCGAACTGAGCCCGTTAATCCGAAAATGGTTAGTATTTTTAGCAATTTTGCTTATTTATTTGAGATTTGGTTATAAAATTAATCCAAGAAGATATTTTTATGAAGGTACTCTTGTTTCACCTGACTGAGGGTCAATTAGGTCTGGTGTTTCCTGTCTGTCAGACCCACTCGATCCGCGTTCTACGAGAGTTACCCGTAGGTTTCCGTAAATTATTTAAATAAAGGTTAATATTATTCATATTATGATTATGATATGGATTTTTTGATTCGTATGATTTAACACTATCACTGATCGTGATCGACAGACTCAGTAGTAGGCTTTCTTATCAGACTACTCAAACCGGTACAAGTGTGTTTCTTGTTGGTGTTACATTACTGTTTTCAGCTATCTGTTTTAGATTTTTGATACTACTAAATATTTTTACGACACGATGCCTGATTTTTTGAACCTGATTTATCTGATATCTGATTTACTGTATATTTCTAATATGATCTCTGGATTATCGTATTTTCATATCTGATTTCTTAAAATGGAATATTTTCATGTTTTAATGGATTAAACTACCGTTTTCATTCAAATACATACATGTTATTTCTGTCATTGTTGGTATTACTGGAGGAAGTATCTCAAGGCTAGTATATGACTTATAAGACCTTACAGCTTTTTGCAGGCTCCTCGGCTTTGTGCTCAGGGTAAGTCCTTACCACAAGCTCCTCGGCTTTGTCCTTAGGGTGAGTTATTACCGCATGCTCCATGGCTTTGTGCTCAGGGTAAGCCCTTACTGCAGGTTCCTGTTTTGTGCACAAGATAAGACCTTACTGCAGGCTCCTCTGCTTTGTGCACAGGGTAAGCCCTTACTGGGTGTACAAGTGGGTGTATGGTTCTGGGGAACCTACACATTCTGGTGATCAGACAGGGGTAGTCTTCATGTTTTTAAAACATGTTTGGTAAATCGATTTTACTGAAATATTTTATCCGTATGTTTTTATACACTGTAAGGAGCACACTGAGTTTTTTTAGCTCATTCTGTAAATTTTAACATTTTCAGATAATAATATACTAGGCTAACAGACTTGGCATCTTGAGGACCAACTTCTCCTAATTTTGTACCACTGTATATTTCTATATATTTTTCTGTTATATTTTGGTGACATGTGTTTTGCTACCATCTTGATATATCTGTATTACCGATATTTTGTTCAGTAAATGTTTTATGTGGTTTTCTGTGGTATTTAATATGAATAAATTTTATACAGTTTTTTGACATATGTATACATATATGTTTATCATATGAAACTTTCTTATGGATTTTAACGTTGTTTTAAATATGAAAAAAAATTCTAAATGTGATATGTGACCGCCTAGATTTGGGCCTAACATACAGGCCGGGTCTAGGGGGTTACACTTGGTGATATCAGAGCTTTCGGTTTTAAACACTTGGATTGTGGATGAGTCCAAAAATATGGATTTTCAAGATATTTTTCAAAAAAAATCGCGTCACATTATTTTATGAGTTTAAATATATTTGAGGTTCCTAATGCTAGTCTAACTTAGGTTTAAATTCTTTCTGTAGAGCCTTGTAGATTTACTCGATGAGTGCGACTATAGGTCGTAGGCCAGGCTGTGGCTGTGGTCGAGGGCAAGCGACTCAACATTCTGTTACGATAGATGATCCTATGTCACCTCGAGATTCTTTTGTCCCGCATATAGATTTGTCTATTTCTAGAGATGATCCGATTACTCCTGCGAGAGACCCTCTCGTCACTAAGATGAGGACACTGATATGGATGAGGATGCCATAAATAGGGTTGTCTTTCGTATGTTCTAGAGAGCTACTAGAGTCACTGGTAATATATATGCGGTCGATATTTCAAAAAGTTTTGTAGCTGCTTGAGTAGTTACGTTTCTGAGGATCTTAATATCCATGTTGAAAATACTGAGAATTCAGTGAAGGTTCAAAGTCTCGTAGGTCAGTCCGTAGAGTTAAATCGTATTTTTAGAGGGTGTCCTATAGAGATCCATGGGAAGATCTTTCTGGCCGACCTGATGGAGTTACCTTTGGAGGAGTTTGACTTGATTCTTGGCATGAATTGGTTGAACAAGCATTGAGTTAATCTCAATTATAGACTAATAGAGTTATTTTGAAGACTTCAGATAACCGAAAGATTGTGATGATCGGGGAACCTCGTAGATTCCTGACGAATGTTGTGTCAGCATTTGTAGCTGAGAGGTTGTTCATGAAGGGTTTCGAGGTGTTTCTTACTTATATTCTGGACACTAGGAGTTCCCGATCTGACATTAAAGGCATCATGATTGTTAAAGAATTCCCCGATGTTTTTCTTGAAAAGTTGCCTGGATTGTCGCCGGATAGAGAAGATTAGTTTGAGATTGAAGTATATTCCTGTTCCACCTCGGTTTGGATGACTCTTACCGTATGACCCCAAAAGAGCTTAAGGAACTGAAAGTCTAACTACAGGATTTGTTATATAGAGGATTTATTTGACCCAATGTATCACCGTGGGGAGTCACAGTTCTTTTTGTCAAGAAGAAAGATGAGACATTGGGACTCTGTATTGATTATAGGAAAATGAACAAACTCACGGTTAAAAACAAATATCCTCTACCCAGGATCGATGATCTGTTTGACCAATTTCAAGGGGTTTCTATCTTTTTGAAGATAGACTTGAGGTCTGGTTATTACCAACTCAAGGTGAAAGATTTTGATGTCCCAAAGACTGTTTCCCGTACTCGGTATGGGCATTACGAGTTTGTAGTGATGTCATTTGGGTTAACTAATGCCCTGCTACTTTTATGGATCTGATGAATATGGTGTTTCGACCATATCTGGACCAATTTGTGGTTATATTTATTGACGACATACTGGTGTATTCTCGAACTGAAGCAGAACATTATGAACATTTAAGGATTGTTCTGTAGACTCTAAGGGAAAATAAGTTATACGCCAAGTTGAGCAAGTGTG